TACGTTTATAATCGTAGCAACAGACCTCAGATGAGCCCAGACGCTCTGCGGCTCTTGTTTGAAGGAGTTGGAAAAAGCCCCGGAAATAAAAAATAAATTATTTTTTCCCTGTGTCACATACTGGTCATGGTTAAACTGAGCACAAAAACTATCAAGTTGGTAGTTGTGCTTTCATTGTTTATTCTTGAATTTAGTGAAGAAAGTGTAGGATTATATATGTGATCATATTATCTCAGCTTTATACTTCCAGTCAAGCTATTAATTTTAGGCATGGATATGAAAGTTAGTTTATACATGCACATTTCGATATGTTTTGTGTGAAGTAAGCTTATTCGTAAATCATTAAATGCATCTGTTGGCTAGAGATACAGGGTTGTCATAGATATCAGGCAATCTGGCAATTCATATCTGATTGGTAATTAAAGGTAACTACGCATGTGTTAAGCGGCCTCAATTCACAGGTGAACTCGGTCAGCTCGGAAATGTAGACAGCAAGCTGTGAAACATGGCATGAATGTGTTGGAATTGTTGAAAGCAAGCACAGCTAAAAGTTGAGTCTGTCAGAGGGTTTATGGCATGTCGTAAATTAGCTTCAACTTGGAAGGCATGTTGAATCTGATGTGCATTAAAAGCCCTGGGATATTGGCACTGTGCCAATGCCTTTATTATGATTTTGTTGTGATTAGCCTTTACGTAGCATCAGATGGTATGTAGATGGGGCCATAATAAAAAATATTGTTTGTTTGCCCTCACCCGACCGACCCGCCGAAAAGGGACCAACTCAAAAAAATTTATTGATCTTTCCCAATTTTTTTTTTTAACAAATTGTATTACTGTACATTATATAAATCTGTAGGCAATACAATATATGTACCAAGCAAAAAAAATATTCAACATAAAAGGCATCTCCACACAAGCACACACGAGCATGTAGACACCATGCTGAATTTGTAAAAAGACCTCTTTAAAAAAAAACTTACCTACCTACCTACCCAAACTTCAGCCTGGGTCGGGTGAGGGCAAACAAATATTTTTTTAATTGTGGCCTGGCATACCGATAATTGGGGACCTGCCTTTTCTCTGAACATTTTACTTTCACTGTGTAAACTATTACAATACCGATTTTTATTTTAATGTTTTCATGTGCATAGATAGAAGTGCACGCGTAGTGCTTTTGAGTAGGGAAACCTTTTCTGTAAACATTTTACTTTTGCTGTGTAAACTGTTACGATACCGAGTATAACATTATTTTAAATGTTTACAGGTGCATAGATAGAATTGCACGCGTAGTGCCGTTGAGTAGGGACACCAGCTGGCAACAACCTCTACCAATGTAGCTGTGTGGCAACACTTGCAATGACAACAGACACGAGCACGAGGCGGCGTGTGAAGCTATACACACTGAACGATGACCGACAGTGGGATGACAGGGGCACGGGTCACGTGTCGTCCTCCTACGTCGAACGGCTCAAGGGAATGTCCCTTCTTGTCCGTGCCGAGTCTGACGGTAATGTCATACAGTTTACAGTGCGCAGTAATAACTAAACACCTAGAGCCAGGTTTCGAGCAGAATAATCATGTGCTTTCGTTTTGCGTTTTGTTTGTAAATTCTGTTTTCTGCGTAAGCTGTGTCTTCTGTGTTTTCATGGTTAAACGTTGGAAGATTTAATTTTTAAATGATAAGGAGAGACTTAGTTTAGTAGGATAGCCAAGCTTGAATATCCACAGTATTTCATGAAGTAACAAATCCATACAGAGTCAGACAGCTTTACTAAAATCCCGATTGACGTGTGTTTGGAAAAGTGCTGTTGTTACTTGACAAGTATTTAATGCTATTTGGCCATTTTTCAAAAATTCTTGTAGTGTATCAGCTGCATTTTTGGTGCAATTTAAGGGTAGTTATGACTTGGTATTGAGCTGCATTACCAGATTCCCAGGTTTTGTTCAGAAATTCGAGCTCTGTGCTAAGTAATTCCCACAACAATCTATCTCGGTTTTACTGGTATTCGAAATGTTGTTTACGCATGGTTAATGTCATTTTATGTGTTTTTACGCAGCAAGTTACGACACTATTAAACAACTTGTAATCACTGACTCATTGAAAGTGGTCAAATGATGGAAAAGTTAGGATGCATTATAATCACAACAAGCACTAAACTGAGATATAAAAATTTAAGAAATATTGTATTTAAATCGCTGGCTTTTTGAATTGTTGATTAGCAGGATGTCTATTCCTAAACTTTAACTGAATCAAGATAGTATATTAGTATATTTAAGTCATTTTAAAGTATTAAATTGAACTATTTATCTTCTGAACTTTACAGGATCCTTGTTGCTTGAATCCAGAATTCAGCCTGACACAGCCTATCAAAAACAACAGGTAAGTGTGAAGGTTAAGAGTGCAGGGTACATCAAAATATCAACAAGAGCAATAGGAGATAGCAAACCACCACAGCTTAACAGTACAAAAAAAATCTCAGATCTGTATCCGGATCACCACCAAAATTGAATCGATTGGTTGTTGGCCCAAGACAAACCCGTCCAAAAATTTTTTTATCAAAATCCGTCCGTAACTTTTTAAGATATCTTGTTGAAAGACAAACAAACCAACAAACCAACCAACAAACAAACTAACAGGGGTGAAAACATAATCTCCTTGGCGGAGGAAATTGGGTACAACGGTGACTTGATAGTAATGGATCAATTGTGAACTACAGAACCAAGGGATCGCTGGTCCTCGCTGATAGTATACTGAGTTATCGATGGTTTTCGATTGTTGTGATATTTAAGCAAAATTTAACCGTGCCAAGCAGGGTTCGAAATTTGGCTGAAAATCTAGTGGACAGCAGGACCACCAACTTTAGAAAGTTGGTGGTCCGCTTATTTACTAGACGTGAGTAACAAAATAGTATACAAAAATAACCATTGGCATTAACAGCATACATGTAACTTAGAGTTGGTAAAATAATATATCTCAAACTCTAGGAATGTCGGGGGAGCTTGTGGGAAAGGTTTTACTTTCGTTTTTCTTCTCCTCAGTCCACGGTACCCCCATGCATAGATCAATGCTGCCGCACATCCGCAAAGTTGCAAGTGCCTATAGAATCTTGATACAGTTTACATTGCTTCTAGATATCTAACTGAATAAAAATAGTCCACTTTCTACGTAAAGAAAAGTGACGAATTCAGTTAACAGCTTTGATTATGTGCGTGTCAGGTATCACTGGTTGTGCCCTCACTCCCCACAATAACCCCTGCGACATATGAACTTATTGTTATGCGGTCATAGAAACACTGGCGTCATGCCGCAATCGATTTCTTAGACTGTCACGAGGTTTTGTTCGTGTGGCGAATCATGCGTTGAGGGAGTTCATGCCCTCGGCTCTAGATGTTTTGGATACCCTGTCTACACTCAGGAACGGAGCGTATTAGAATGCGCTCCCGTTTCCAAGTCTGTCTAAACAGCCGTTGCGATAACCGATAACCGTAGTATTTCAGCGTAATATGAGGGGAAAAAGTGGCAGTTTCGTAGAAATGGTGGCCGAAGCAAAAACTTGGTGGCCTCGGGCCTCCGTGTCGGCACTAATTTCAAACGCTGGTGCCAAGTCAAGTAAGTAAGTAAAAACTTTATTTAACGAGGGTAAAACATGTTAGGTACAGACACAATAAAATGGCGCGGACCTATCTACCACATAGCCGTCTCTCAGCAATAGAACAGTTAAATATTAAATAAATACACAATAAGATTGTGTACTGTGTGCTGCAGTGACTAGGTCAAGTTTAGTGTAGTGACCCGAGAAGAAGAAGAAAGCACATTTCACCTAGACTAGGGGGTCTGTTGTCAGAAACGTTGTAAAGATTCATGAGTAAAGTGAAAGCTATGATATACTTAAGACGACAAATGTTAAGATACGATAATGTGATTGACAGTAACATCACAGCAACACGTGAACTTACAATAATTGAAACTCGGTAATTTTCTGTTAGAAGGTAAAAAGGTTTGTCTGGATGAGTATAAAAGTTCAAATTCAAATATGGTTATTAATTGTGCATGGTTGTAAGACATACATGTTATGATGGTTAATCACATTAATCACAATAATATTATTGATGATAACAAGTCATGATAGAATTTTTATTCCGCATTAAAAGTTATGATATCATAAGGTTAAAGCATTATGGCTCAATGATAATCGCCGCGTTCACACGTAGCAAGAAATTCGGTATTTAGCGTTCACGCGAGGCAAAATGCGCGGTCTAAGAAATACGGTATCTAGTAAACAGATCCGGTATTTGTTGAAATACGCGGCTTCCCAGACCCCGAATAATTTGCCGTGCTTGAGAAATACCGGATCTCTTGGACCGCGCATTTCCTCGTGTGAACGCTAAATACCGTATTTCTGAAGCCGCGAATTTTATAGACTGGTCTGCGCTCGACAGTTCCAGTGTAGTGGAACTGTCGAGCGCGGACCAGTCTACGTATTTTATGGGCAGTTGGTGCGCATTGCATTGTTTATTTCGCATTGTTTGCTTGATTGTTACTAAAGCAGCTTATAGCTTGCAAATACGGCATTTCTGGAGCTGCGAATCGGCGTGTGAACGCTCGGTCGCGTATTTGTCTTAGATTCGGTATTTCGCAAATACCGTATTTCATAAATACGAGGTCTCGTGTGAACGAGGCTAATATCGCAAACGAGCAATCGGGGTGTTAGCCAGGAAAAAAAAATCGGGGAGTCTCCCCATCTGAGCGAAGCGAGGATGCTGCGGGCGCGAAGGGCCCTAGGGGGAGGGCCTTACTTTGAAATGGAGGAAATTTAGTCTGAAATACCAAAAAGTCAGGAATCTTATATGATTTTATATTCTTATAAGCACTGTTGTCAGTTATACAAGGTGTATTATATATAAAATTGGGCCGCCCTCATGCCGTCTCTATCAAATTTCATCCGTCTCATCCAAGAAAAGGCCGTCCAAAAGACGGGTAGACACACTAACTCTGGCTAACACACTGAGAGCAATTCATAATTATTTGTTTTTGCACGTGATTACAGAGACACGTAGTGTTTCCAACGTTTTTTAATGTAAAAAATACAGGTTTTACCAATCAATAGTAATTATAATATCCATATAATTGTAATTTTGTGTGTGTAATATTTCTCCTTTAATCGTTGTTTGATAGTTGGAAGAGGGTCTAGCATATCATTAATTAAGTTACGGAAAAATTTATTAGGATTTTTCATTCTAATAACGTATGCGTCTGTCAACGATTATGTTAAAAATATGAAGTTATAATATATAAAAGTTAAGAAATCAGGGTTCTCTCCTGAAATTTTAGAAGGCATATCGGGCAATCCGGCGATTTATCCCTGATTGCTAATTAGGGCTATTATGTACGCTCGTCGTAAGTGGCCCCAATACGCAGGTAAACTCGATCAGTTTGGAGACGTATATATCAAGCTATGAAAACACAGCATGACTGTATTGGGATTGTTAAATGTAAACACGGTTGGAATTTAAGGCATGTCCATTAGGCATTTCAGGCATTTGTTGCAAATTGGCTGCAGCTTTTAAGGCATGTCAGACCCATCGTGCATTAGAGGCTTGGGGAGAACCCTGCTAATGTGACAACTCTTAGGATAACTGTTCCTAGTTTGTTTAGCATACGTTAACATAAATTGTGGGCCACAAGCTACAGACAATCTAGGCAGAGATATCTTGCATCAATAAATCATTTTATTCATTCACAGAGCGATGTTAAGCCGGGTTTGCATTAAATTATCGAAAAGTTGAGGAGTTGATAAACTTTTCAACGTTCCATCAATCTTTCTATCAGATGATCAAAGTTTTTATGTTATTGACCGCGAGTCAGAAAACGCGTTAACGTTTCACCCGCAGTGTGCGTGCGGGGCGATGTGGATCCGCGTTTTTGCATGTATTAATTATTATTGAGTGTAGCCCGTGTGGTGCCGATAGCAAAAATGTACGTGCAAATAATCTCCCCCTGGGTGGAGGGACACACCTGAATCCCTGATTGCTATTATCGGAGTGGTTGAGTGGCAAAAAGTTGATCAACTCGCTGACTAAAAGTTGAGAAAATAGAACATGTTCTAATCTCTCAACTAGTTGATAGCAACTTTTACGTTTACACTGCCGATTTCGGTTGATTAGTTGAAAAGTTGATCAACTCGTCAACTTTTCAACTGGAAGTTGATAGTGTAAACCCAGCTTTATACAGAGTAAGTAATAACATTTAAGTGTAGTAATAATGATACACATCATTGCAATAGCATGTATTTCAGGTTATGCTGTACTATTGTAATAGTGAAATTGCACCCAGTAATCAGCCCTATTAAGGGCTACAGGGTTTCTTCGGAGGGGAAATTAGACAACGGCGGTAATGGCCAGTTTGGGGAAAAAATTCGCTTGATGGATTTAAAGACGTGCCATAGGCACGCATGCGGACACTGCAGGTGGGGGGGGGGTAGAGAGCTGGAAGTCCCCCTCTCTCTGGGAGGGGGATTCTGGGGGTCTCTCCCAGCAAAATTTTAAAAATTTGAATGTTAAAAATTGTTACAGGAGCATTTTCACAACGGCGATGTTAAATTTGACAACGGCGGTGCGCCACTGTGCCTCTCATGTATAAGAAACCCTGGGCTATAGACCCTATCGTCATCTACAATGTGCAAAAGGCACCATTGTGTTAATTGATATAGAGTTTTTATGTGTTTCTGTTTGTCGCTGTGGGTTTGCTTTAGTTGTCGTCGTAGTGTGTGATACCTGATATGACCTATTCTTGAATGGCTCCCTGCAACCTCGGTCATCGCATAGTTAATTTAATAATACAATTTACCCTTACGTAATATTATATGGCACATATCTACGAATGTACTGTAACTACTGTTTATTATTTTTAGAGCTAGGATCAGTTTGCATCAACTGTCTGACATGCATTTAGTGATGAGCAAGCTGTTAATTTGCCAAAATAGTGTTACAGTAAAAACCCGCGTATAAGAACCTGTATTTTTCCAGGTTAGCCTAAAAAGGTTCTTATATAATTGGTGTGTACTGGAAAATTAGGCTATTTAGGTTCTTATTTTCTTAAGAAAAAAAGGTGCTTGTGGCTGGTAGAATATTGGTGCGGTCCATTGTTTATAGAAAATATTCATATAATTATGTCTAAATGACTGCAATCTAGACAAATACAAACCCTATTCTAGGTTATCTTATTTCTTGTTAGAACAAAACTAGATTAGATTGCCTGATAGAGCTTGTTTTGGTTGATTTATAAATTATTTTAAAGTGTTAACTGAATTCTATCAGATAAGAACCTGTTTCAAATTTTAAGCTACAACAGGTTCTTATGTCAAAGGGGTCTAAATGGAAAATCTTAGCCTAACAGGTTCTTAATCACTAGGTTCTTATACGCGGGTTTTTACTGTACTATGCGTTGTCCTGTAAGAAATTAGGAAAATGGTATAATACAACTCTATAATCTCTTATTTTCTGAAATTGCACTAACCACATAGATTCATTAATTGGCCATACTGTTTATGGTAAATAGCCACTAATGTGTTACTCGAATTTTAACAATGAAACTTTGCAAAATATTTCCTCTTGCTATTTCTTTGGATGTTCTTTTAGTGAATGTCTAACCTGCTTATTTTGCTTTGCTTAGGACACGTTAATCGTGTGGTCAGAGACGGACAACTATGACCTTGCTCTCAGCTTTCAAGAGAAGGCTGGTTGCGATGAAATATGGGAGAAAATATGTCAGGTAAGTGGTTTTACATTTTTGCAGTTTCTTTCAATGTACACATTGCATGAAATTATTTTTAATGATGACCGTTGCAGTGAGTGATGTAATCCTGTAGGGGTTTAAAGGTATGCCCGCATTGCAATTGGCTGTCGGCCAATAAGCCAGTTGTGTTAGTACTTCCTCTGCACTAGTTTAGCTCTTTTTTTTTGTTCCCCAACAAACTATCAGATTACCTACCTTTTCAACTAACTGACCAAACCTTGCGGGGGATTACAAAACTAAAATCCACATTTTCTACGCGTCACACACGTTACCTTACGATGATATTCGAAATATGTGCTGTGCCGTGACAATTTCCCTGTGAGTAGTTACAGAGACAATAATGACTGATTTGATAAGTAAAATTTGAGTGATAAATTAACTTGTATGGCAGAGCGAGCAATGCTGAACCTGACTAATTGCAACACGTGTATACTACGTTCGTCCATGTGCTTTGCCATCTCAAGGTCAATTACACACGGTCAAATCTAGAATATCAAACAATAAAGCCAAATCAAAAAAAGGCAAATTACGTGCCAACTCCTTTTACGCATCCCGAAATGGAGTTGTATGCTTATTAATTTTATTCAGTGTCTGTATGTTTGGCACAGGTCTTTCTAAGCACACATCAAAATACAAATGCAATATAGGCAATTTTATATCTTCTTTGAATATGTGAACACTAAAGCAGCATCTTAGAAAGAGTATAATTTATCTTTAATCAATTCAGATAAATTATGATGATTAATTGCTAAATAATGGCGCTTGTATCTCGTAAATTTATAACATTGGTTTTAGTGTGGAAACGTTTGATTCACTCGACAAAAAAATATAATTAATCTTAATTTATTTAAAAACAGTTAAAAACACACAAAGTTATAATAAGTTCATGCCAAACGCTATTGAAAGATACATGCGTAACACGTCAAGGGAGGCAATAATAATAAAAAACGTCTAAAAACTTTCTTGTCTAATTGTGCTGACACATCAAACTAAAACATCAAACAGACAAATCATATCGTGCACCGACGTGCATAATTGGCTAACGAATTACAAGGTGTGAGTATAAATAGATTGGTGACAAATTTGCAAAATTTGCATTTGAGTGTTGCTATATATATATAGTTTTGTTGTGTGTAATATCGCAGGGTGCGGTTGTGCGATACGTGTTGTGTTTGTAGGAGTTGTTCTAAAGTGGTTGCGAAGCCACAAGATTTATTGATGCTCGTGTCTAACTCGTAACAACACTGGGCAGTGCCATGGGGACATCATGTTGTAACTCCGGCCCTACATCTAGCCATCATGTAAATCTCCTATTTTGTGGTTTTCTTCTGAACTTATCTGTGTATCAAATATTTTCAGTGTGAATTCGTAGCATCTTTCGCAACCATTTCTAGGCTAACTGTCTGTTAGGAAAGCTCTGTTGAGTCTGGTATTTGATGTTTGTTTTTGCACATTCGCGATGTAATTACACGACAATGTCAGATGCTGTTTGAATACCTGTGGGAAACATCGCTAATGAAATAAAGATGAAGCGAGATGTGAAGGATTCACAGTAATTAGCATACGCGCATATTTAATTATATATTAATAAAACAGCAGTGTTAGTACTGTTACAACATAATGAACATAATTTGAAGCTGCGATGGTGATTATTGTAGATCACTGTCGCAATCTTGGATAATTTGATACACGTTTTCGTGTTTAAAAACGATGGGAAGCCTCACATCATTGTATGCATCACGTTTCGTATCCATGTACAGTGTATATATATATACGTGTGTGTAGTTGATTGCTCATTCTAACACTGGCAGTCAAGTTAATGACATTAAATACTTTTATGTTTTGAACGTAATTCTCGTGGCTATGCTCAGACGTAGAAAACGGCGTGAACTTAATTATGATGGCACATTTTGACAATTTTCTTGCAAGTTTTTTTTTCAATAAAAAGTACGTATTCTCAACACAAAATAAATTCATTTAGATGAGAGACTTTCCTCAGGTAGTTTAAAAAGCAGCCATTTAAATTGACTACGTCACGAATTTTCTATAGGGTATATTTGTAAAAAAAAAAATTGTTGCAATTTTTTTACATGAAAAGTAAGTACTAACGGCACTAAATGTATCCTCAAATTCTTACCTGGTAAGACTGTTTCTCAACTAGTTAAAAATCCAATAAATAATAAAAAATAACACATTAAATGCTTACTTACTATGGGCTATGTATGAGTCACGAGTGTTTGTTCACATCCAATGGAATAAGTATGATGCAGCAATTTAACCATAAGAAGTTAACAGAATCACTTACATTTTGTGAAAAAATGGACATAATTTTTTTACTTTTACTATTTATGGTGACGTAATCACTTTAAACATAGCATACAATTTCGGCGTGTGCTCACTCAGTGAGTGTCAACCAACACACTGAAACTGAATGTCACTTTCAGTCTACCTGTAGCCATTTGCAAAGTGCACCGCGGAATTCTTCAAGTTATTATATGCCTGCTTATTAATCAATATTTTTCATGTTGCACATTGAGCGGCTATGTCTGAACGTTCGAGGTGGAAAGAGCTGCTGTTGTGCCTGCGCATACGAAAGGTCACTTTGTCTTTTTTTGAACGCGCTGTGCACTTAGCTACCGTCCTCGGTCATGTGTAATGACATTTGTCAGTTAAATATCGCGAACATTTGACAAATTAGTAAATCTAAAAATAGCAGTTTGTGTTTCTCGATCGCGTTGACTAACGGGTACAGTATATCTCGCCAGATTTCAAGAAGGGTATCATGTTGCTACGGTACGTAGTACGTGTGTGATACTCGGGGAGCCTCGTGGTAACTTATGACATGCTAATGGAGTGAGTAGAGTGCTCGTCAGTCTAGCTAGGCTGTGGTGACATTTGAGGCTTTCAACTTCGTGACTAGCTGTGTAATCCTTGTCTCTCTTACTGTGTGGATTTGCTAACCCTAAGTCCAGTTGGCTTAATGGAGTGATGGGGTGGATGGAGTCATTGGAGTGTTCGCTGCTCACATGCGAATGTTTCTCCCACGCTCTACCTTTTAGTTGGCGTTTACGTGCGGTTACAGGGGCACCGTTGAGTGCTTGAGCGTACTGGGTGGCGGAATTTCTCTGCTATTATATCAGAACATTCCCACCCACCCCACCACCGCCACCCCCACACATCACACCACCCACCACCACCACCACCACCACCACCACCACACAC